CCTGCCACTACTCCTAAGCCTAAACAGGGGGACCCCTACAAGCATAGCTATCTCTCACAATTAATGGGATGCCTGCCGCCCCCCGCCCCCCGCCCTAATCGGCAGGGTGGGGCCACCGGGAAGGCCTACTGGTCGACCCTATTTCTTTTTGCCTGCCCGCGGCTGTCTTACTTGTGATGGGTAAAAAGGAAGCAGGGCCCATTGGCCCTCGACCATACCTTTCGTGATCAGCGAAGACAGCGGTTCAGATGCAGCCCTTGTGACGTTTAGGGAGTACGTAACATTGTAGAAATACTAGAAATGCAAAAGTATTGTGGATACCGCTGATGCAGGTTCTCTTCTACTGCTCAGGAGTCAGGACTTCGAACTCATGATCTTCTTATCAACTGCCATGTGTGCATAACTGTCAGGACTTCACGATGTTCCCTTCTAAAACCACGGTCACGATCTGTGCAACATTCAGGACTTGGAACTCTACGGTACTATCCCAAAACCACCATCGCAAGAGACCAGATTCTCTCATCAAGGGATTGGGGAAATATCAGAAACCTAGAGACCATTTTTTCCTCCTCCTCATCGCATATGTTTCGCCCGAAGCTCTGCTTACCAATCAAAAAATATATATACAACAAAGCAGACCGGTTATCACCTTGCCTGCTGTCATTCAGATCCCCGTGCTGAGCAAGACTCAAAAAGTTTCATTTGAGAACAAGACGGACCCGCAGGGCTCCGCCCACATGAGGAAAGGGTATTGATGGAGTGTGTGAAACCTCCAGTAGCGTGTGAATACAGGAACCAAAAAAATGGGATACGTAGGCAGTTAAAAAACCAGCAATGGTGAGGTACATAAAAGTTGATAAAACCTTAACGAGATAGAACGGCGCTTTTTGGCTTCAGGTCTCAGAAATGGTGGAGTGTTTGAACAACCAGCTGAATGAGGTACATCGAACCTTAATGAGATAGAATGGTGTTGTAGCCTGTAGGCGTCTTTACCGACAGCGGCGACAGGCCTTAAACCACCAGTACACCTAGGCCTGGAGGCGGGTTACTGCACATCAAACTTCTGCGAACAGCCGCCTATGCACTTTCTGTTCGGCTGCTGCAGCCAGCCATTGTCGTCCTGTAGGTCGAGCCTGCAAAATTTTCATAGGCGATGAGCTGCATTTTCTGCAAGGCTGGGGACGTGTACTGGCAGTTTAAAGACATAAGCCACAACCCCCCACGCCATAGATAGTACATACCGAGGAGAAAGAGAATTAACCACCTCCCAAGGTCCCGCCAGGACAGTCAACCATCACGATATGTTGAAAGGGCCCACACCACAAACACCATGTACCTGAGAGGAGTAGAGAACGTGTAGAGAGTGAAGTAGAGTAGAGGAATATAGCCTGTAGAGTAGAGAGGAGTGGAGTAGAGAAGAATGCAGCATAGAAAAGCATACTAGAGTACAGTAGGGTAGAGAGTACAGAGTAGAGAGTAGAGTACACAGTGAAGAGAGTAGAAGTTGAGAGTAGACCAGAGGAGAGTAGAGAGTAGAGTAGAGTAGAGTAGAGTAGAGTAGAGTAGAGTAGAGGAGTAGAGAAGAGAAGAGAAGAGAAGAGAAGAGAAGATTAAAGTCTAGAGTAGAGAGTAGAGTAGGGAATAAAGAGTAGAGAGTAGAGTAGAACAGGAGAGTATAATATAGCAGTCTAGTAGAGTACAGTAGTGTTAGAGAAGAGTAGAATAAAGCAGAGCTACAGCATGTGTGTGTGTGAGACTCAGTTCAGAGGACCGAGATAGTGTGATTGCGAAATGGCAGGGGGTGGGCTGAGATGATGTGATTGAGAATTGGCCAAGGGGAGCTGTTTGAAGTCCCCTTGAATTATGATAGTACAGCTGTTGTCAAGTAGTGGTCTTCAAATTTTTGAATGAAGCACTCCGCATCCAATCTGCTTGACAGTTTGCTGTTTGCTTGAGGGACTTGGAGCATTTCATGGAAGCCAAAAGTCACAGAAGAGACCGCACAGCATGCGTTAGAATAACTTCATGGACAGTGTGGCGAACTCTCTCTCTCTCTCTCTCTCTCTCTCTCTCTCTCTCTCTCTCTCTCTCTCTCTCTGTGTGTGTGTGTGTGTGTGTGTGTGTGTGTGTGTGTNTGTGTGTGTGTGTGTGTGTGTGTGTGTGTGTGTGTGTGTGTGTGTGTGTGTGTGTGTGTGTGTGTGTGTGTGTGCGTGTGTGCGAGCACGCGCGTGTGTGTGTGTGTGTGTGTGTGTGTGTGTGTGTGCCTCAAAGATAGACCTGACCTGTCAGATACAGACGCGACATCCCATCATACACCTCACATGTGAGAGGGAGGGGAGGGACCGCATACACAGATGAAAGGTCCCTCCTTGAGCACGCACATGGGGAGAAACCACGCATGAGGAGATGGGGGAGAGGGGAGACGAACATGGGCGCGATAGCGAAGTCCAAAAATAGTCTCCCTGTCGAATGTCCAATCAATGTCTGCCACAAAATGTCGAATCAGAACCTGGGCCTCTCTCTCTCTCTCTCTCTCTCGAGCGCGCGCGCGCGCACATGCAGGGGCAAACGAAATGTGCTGAACAAACCGAGAAATCCAGTCTCTAGGTAGAGCGGAAAGAATGGTGGAAGGAGGCACAGAGGACGGAAGGCATGGGGGACAACCGAGGGATAGGAGGGAAGGAAGGCGGAAGACGTAGGAAGGAGGGAGGAAGCAGGGATGGAGGAAGGACAGAAGACCACTGAGGCATGAATGGGGGGAGGGAGGAGGAGGTGAGGCTACCTTTGGTGTCTCTCTCTCTCTCTCTCTCTCTCTCTCTCATCCGCACACGGGGAGCAAAGAAAAACATGCAGCATTCTGATCATTCAACAACAAAGGCCGAGGGAGGATGAAGGGCCATGGGAGAAGGGAGGGAGGGAGGGTCGAGGGGAACCGGCAAAAGGGGGACGGAGGGAGGGAGAAGTGATGGCTGAGGGAAGGGAGGAGGGAGGTAGAAGTGAGAGCCAAAGGAAGGAAGGAGGAGATAGACGTGAGGGCCAAGGGAAGGAATGAGGGAGTGAGAAGTGAGGGCTGAGGGAAGGAAGCAGGAACGGAGAATTGAGGTCCCAAGGAAGGAGGGCGGGAGAAGCGAGGGCCAAGGGAAGGAAGCAGGAACGGAGAATTGAGGTCCCAAGGAAGGAGGGACGGAGAAGCGAAGGCCGAAGGACAGGAGGAGGGAGGAAGAAGTGAGGGCTGAGGGAGGAGGAATGTCCAAGAAAAGAGCGAGAGAGGAGAGAGGGCTGAGGGCCGAGGGAGGAAGGGAGGAGGCCAGGCTGAGGTCGAGGGTAGAAAGGAAGTGGAGGAACGAGGGAGAGCGGACAGAGGGCGGAGAGAAGATGGAGGTGAGGCGGAGATCAGGTGCAGGTCGGGCGGACGGAAAAAGGTGAGACGTCAATGGAGGGAGGCAAGATCTTTCCTGACAGCGACCATTGGCAACATCTTTCCTGACACAACCCCGCCCACCGGGTTCGCACTCGTGACCTTAACAGCAACCGCCAGCAAGATCTTTCCTGATGCAACCCCACGTGGTGCACGTTTCTGACGCACGCACCCCGCATTCCACTCCTTTTTCAGTCCTTTTTTCTTTTTCTTCTTTTTCACCTCTTCTGCGAAACTGCAAATACTCCAAAGTGTCTAAAACTGCACAGGTTCCGCAATAGCGGCATTGCAAATGGTGGACTTGAGCCCTGGTCTGTCCTTCACGCATCAACATGAAAACGAAAGAGGAATAAAGGGAAAAAGAAAAAGCACAACACAAAACAAACACGGAGAAGGACATCGCACGCCCCGCCGCAACTCACGAATGACTCAGTAAACATGTTTACATCGCACATCTCACGTTGGCCCATCCAAAGTCCAACGACGAACGGCGGCCGCCGTAAAAGAAATCTTACATCGGACGGCCAAACAATCCCAGTTGAGGTCAAATACACGGCCCGTGGCCAATAAACCATAGTATGTTGGAAGGAGCGGACAGACGGACTACCACCAGACCACAACAAGACCTCTCTCGAGGACATGCAGGACCCTGAAGCCTTTCCTCCACTTTCCATGCACAATGCCTTCCTGAGCTAGATTTACACGATCCTTCTCAAAGGTGGTGGGGGCATTCAGGACTACAAGGAAAAAGCCTGGGGGATGTACATCAGCGAATCACCCTCGGAGTGCTATTCAGGTAAACCAACAGATTTCTGCACAGATATCCTGCAGCACACCTGCGCAGGGTTGCGCTTGTCATAACTGCTGCTGGAATTTTCCCTGGTGCAAGTGAGAGAACCAAGTTCCATACATGTGGTATAGACCGGAGCCTACATCCTGAAAGCTCTACAGGGGCAAGTCCTCGAGATGCGCACCGGCGCAGAGCCGTGAAAGGCTAAACCTGCCAAGCACAAGCAGCATGAGATGCAGTTAAGCTGAAGCCTACATCCGGAAAGCTCTACAGGAGGCAAATCCTCGAGAATGCGCATCTGCACAGCCCTGGAGTTGCCACGCACAAGCTCCATCAAATGAAAACGGCTAAAGACTGGACGAAGACATTTGACACACTGATGCCATGAGGGGAAGGGTGGTATATAATTATAATTGAGATGCGGAAGATTGCTCTGGGATGATGGGAATGGCCGAGACACAAGGGAAGACCCCTCTGCAAGGATGACAGGCAACTCGGAAGATCCTGCCTTCCCTTGGAGTGTACATTCTGGCTTTTGATGCTTCGACATTAACAACCCAGGCATGGGCTGAAATTGAGCTGGGAAAGAACAGCTTGCTGTGTAAGACATGCCACGCACACCAACGATGTTGTTGGCTTTTTTTTTTTCCCTTCTTGATCTTTTGCACATAATAGCAAACAAAGTGGAGACGATTGATCACTGAGGTCATTGCACACTCTAAGGAAAGTGCATCTCACAGAAGAGAGGAACATTCATTCATCACGATAAACCGAACGCAATGCAATTCATCACTACCTCCTCTTACTGGAGGGGAGGAGATAATGTCAAGAATTCACTACTGAATGATATGCTTCTCTGCAGCACCCCCTTTCGCCAACCCATCGTCGCTATTCTCTTTCCTTTCCTAACCCCTTTTCAGTGATTGACGAATGCAATGAAATCCATCACGAATGCTCTCACCTGCTGGACGCGACGAAGACGAATCATCAATCACACAGCGGAGGACACTCCTCCACAGCCCCTTTCTGCACACAGCCCCACCCTTCTCTATTTCCCTCCTCCCAACCGCTCTTTTAAAGTTTGCCGCAAACACTAAAAACGAAACTCGTTCCATTTATCGGACACCCAAACCTCTTCCGCTCGCCGTTCCAACTTCAGTCTCCCTTTGCTGCACTCAACCGCAACTTCAACACCCTGATCAAATTATACCACAAGAAACGAACAAGAAAAGAAAGAAAGAAAGCCAACATCGGAGCCCCGGGTAACCGCATGCCCTAGCAAGACTTGATGCATTTGACCCCAGACCGTCAAAACAAACTTGAGAGAGCTTCCTTTACTAGCCAGAGCTCCAAGCTCTCCACGTCAATCTAGTGTCCTCCCCACTTCCTTCCCGACCTTCACGTTCCTGACCGAGTTGTTTGCTGCACTCCCCAACTGTCAAAAACCCTCGTCCTAGTTGAGTTTTCCAAGCTGCATCTTTCTCTTCTTGATGGCTTTGTGGCCATGGTAGATAAACGCGTCTATTATCCCAGATACCGTGAACACACCTGCGAGCAAATAAGAAGGGAAGGAGAGAATCTCGAGTTACATGTCTCGTTTTTCGCTTGCAGTCTCGTTGCACAGAGGTGAAGAACCAATTCAAACAAGAATTCTCCCTGTTGTATCCGACAAGGTCATCATGACACAGGGTACTTCAAAAAAACACCACAAGCCATGTCTCAAAAACATCACTCAGCATGATGGCACGCATTCATTCATGTAGCCCGTTTCATCCTCCACCCATCCCAACAATTTACAGTGCGTCGAATCAGATAACACCGCGCACATCGATGAATCTCAACAAATCAGAACTGTGGCTGGATCAGTTCAGCAATAATTACCACACTGCTGCCAAACAAACAAACATCATGCATGCAATAATTACCACCAGTACACACCTAACATCGGCCGCAGGGCCGTGTCAGAGGCTGAAAAGTGACGCCGGCTGCTGATTTCCTTTATCTATGGCGTGCCAGCGCTGACTTTTCCGGATAGGCGATGAGTTTCTTTTCAGCCAGGCCGGGGCCGCGTACTTTTTGAACACCCAAAGCAGTGCAGCTAATGCTTGTATACTTTTGTTCTCCGATCGACAACACAGCACACAACTAGGCTGTGCCGGCAACCGGCCGGTTACCCCCAGTGGTCCAACTGGAATTCCGGTTGGGCCCAAAAGTGGGTCAATTTTTTTATTTTATTTTTTGAAAACATGGTTGGACTGCGCTCAGCATCTCCCCGAATCCGCAAATAAATTTTGAACAGAGAAGTGTCTTTTTTTGGGGGGGGCGGGGGAAGATTTCAAGGGTTCGGGTCAGGGGGTTGGGGGGTTATGGTGGTGGTGGTGTTAGTGGCAGGTTACAGCAAGCACGGGCTTCAGCAGACATTGATAATAACATACCTCTCTCTCCCTCTCTCTCTCTATCTCTCTATCTCTCTATCTATCTATCTATATATATACATATATATAGTCAAACAGAGATGCCCAGTAAACCGTAGGCAGAGAGGGAGAAGACGACAACAAACGAGGGACTGTGGCAAACTGTTTCGTCGGAGTTTCACCGACTCATCAGGAGGCTGAACCCTCAACAGTCTGCAGAATCCCCTAACTGATTACACTGTAAGTGATAATCCACCTCTTCAAATCCTTTCCTCCCCTCGTCCTACTGGCTTCTGCTGCCTCCCGCTCTTCCCCTTCGCGACTGTACCTCGACTCTCCCTTCCCTCCAATGACGCTGTGCCATGTGCCCCCTTCTCCTCTCCCTCCAACCCCACCCGTGTTATCACACTGCGCCTCTTCAAATCCTTTCCTCCCCTCGTCCTACTGGCTTCTGCTGTCACCAATTCTCATGTGCCCCTCTTCCTTCTCCCCCCACCAATCCATTCGTGAGTGCCTCCTCACCCTCTTCTTTACCCACTCCCTTCTGTCAATCCTTTGCCCTGATCCTACCTTCCCCCAAGACGGCCGTATGCCTCCCGATCTCAGATCCCCAACAACTGCTACACCCGTCTTCCCTGATCCTAACTCCCCCACATACTCCACGCCATCCCCATTGCATTCCGATCCGAAATATTTCCCGTCCTACTGTCCTGTCCAACTACCTTTCCCTCTTCTTTCGCCCTGGTCATCTAGGACTATCTCACATCGCTGCTCCCCTCTTCCTCTCCCCATTTCTTCCCAATGCTACCATGCTTTCTGCCTTTTCCCATCAGAGTCGATAAGGAGAGAGCAACAAAACTACAATCCAACTGACAGCAACATAATATTCCCCTTTCTTACCTTGTCGTTAATGGTGCTCCATATCTTCATCTTCACCAGTCAACCTGTCCATGGTCGCTCGCCCCCCCAACACACACACAAAGAAAACCATGACTGTGCCAGACTGTTTCGCCGGACTTTCACCGACTCATCAGGAGGTTGAGCCCCGACAGTCTGCCCAGGATGCATGTGCGTGCGTGCGTGCGCGCTTGTGTGGCTGTGTGTGTCATTGTGTTTGCATTTATGCATGAGTGTGTGTGTCCCTGTGTTCTCCGTGTGGTGTCAGTGTAGGCTCATTGAGAGACCGCTAGAGTAGGGGGGAGTAGGCGTGTCGAGTGTCATAGGCTCGTTGAGTTGCCTGTTGAGTGGCGCACTGAGAAGCCCACTACTTTCAAGTGGCGGACTGATATACCTGCCGTCCACAAAAAAAAAAAAAAAAAAAAAACTTCAAAGAAATCAAAAGAAACAAAAAAAAAGGAGGGCTCCTGAGGCGTTGCTTCACCTGGGCAGGCCATTTGAGGCCATCCAGCACATCCGATACCTACCAGTACCTTTTCCACCGAATGGCCTAGATTGTAGGTCTGTCACCACCACGAACGGCCCAGATCTCAGGCCAATGAGAAAAGCCTCTCATCGGCCTGAGATATGTGCCGTCCCCAGCAGTGATCGGCCTGCAATCCAGGCTGTTCCTTATGTCGCTCAGGAGCTTCTATAGTACTGTAGATCCAATCTTGGCCAAAGAATGCCCCCAACATTTTTCCACACAAAGACTGCTACTGCTAGTCCAGAAAGAGGGCTCAGCTTCCCCTCCCTTCCACCCACCCATACTTTCAGTGCATGCAATGCGTACAAGACCGATTTTACATTTCCATTGTTTTAAATAATTTTTCACATCTCCTTTTCTTCTCGTCTTGGGAAACAGAAAACCATGCTGGCAATTCGTGCACTGAAGAGCAGATGTCAGGCCAGCATACCTACAACGAACGAGGCTTGACAGCGTCTGAAATTGTTTCACACAATGACTGGTAGTGACCCTCTCAGAAAGGCCTTGCTGCCCCTCCCACCACCCACACCTTCGGTGCTCTCTGTGCACGCTGGAACACGGATTTGCGGTCCGTCCCCGCCAAAGGTTGCTCGACATCGTTTTCCACACGGCTTTCTGAGCATTTTTCCACACCAGCACTTTGTCAAACTGCAGGGGGTGCAACATGCCTGAACCTGAGCTGCGAGAGCACTCTTTTTTTAATTTTTTTTATAGCACCATTAACACCAGTTGGCTTTACATCAACATGGCTGCTGCCCACGAAAATACACACTGAGGTCCGTGTCTGAAAGGTCTTACACATTTTTAGCAATCCGCAAAGGACAGCGATGCATGCAGAGTCAATGAACAAGCGTGCATCACACCAAGCAGAAAAAGACCGCGACTGGCCGTGGGAGGGCCTTTGAAAGTTGTGGTGCTTGGCAGGAAATGCGGCTTACCTCCAACAATGGCGCATACATTTGTGAGAAAATGAAGAAAAGATGAGCGCTCCTCGGTGAATTTCACCTGCCGCAATAGAACACCATCCACACAATAATGACATGTTTGACGTTCACATCAGGCAGGCGACTCGTGCTTTCTACGACAACAACTCCCTCCAGCCCCGAAACCAAATTAGCAAGTTCCGTCAAACCAAAAAGCTGCGGCATTTGCCAATTTGCATACTGAGCCAGCCGCAGGGTCAAAGAGAAGCGCATGCAAGAGGCGATGACCATTCAGAGAGCAGCAGCAGCATAACAGGAAAACTGAGGAACAGACAAAAGGGGAACGAGAGCACGAGCAGGTTGGTGCATCATTGGTGCACGCCATAGACAACTCTACCAGTCAGGTCCCTGCAGCGTGGAACCCACGACAGCACAAACGACCATCCTGAGGACGCTGAAACTTCTCACTGACGCAGGTTGGGGAACGAAAAAAAAAAAAAAAAGGGTGAATGTTGGGTGCAAAATACCCACGGACTTAGGTGTGCATACCTTGATGGGAGAGAGATCATAAAAGAAGAACACGCCCGGCAAACTCCTGCTCGAGGCAACTTCCACGGGTCTAAAATGCTCTGTCACAGAGAACTGATAAAGCAAGGAGCAAGGTTTGGATTCAATAAATGGCCACATCACCAACAATCACCCCACTCATAAGAAGTACATCACACTCGTACACAAGCCCATGAAACAGCCCACAAACCGGCCCCATGAACCCGGCCGCAAAACAACCATGACTGCGCCCATCCATGAGCAAGACTCAATAGCTATCCCAGAAAAGGATATACGGCTCAACGTAGAAGAAAACACAGCAGAATGATTAAAGAACGCACCGAGATTGACAAAAACAGAATGCATCAACGCAAGGCAAATATCATCAGGAGGGAAAACAGAGGATAAAAGTGTTAGTAAATTGCGTATCAAGGCAAAAAAAATAAGATTTGCAATTTTGCACACAGCAGAAGACCCAGTGATACAGATCAAATAAAAAGAGAAGTCTGTGTAGAAGATAGCATTGGTTCATGTTCACCTGAAGCATCCAACAATTCTAGCACAGAACCAAAGTGAAACTCCTGCAAGTTATGTACCATAACGTGGCATAAACCATATCACAGAGAGCTGCATAAATCAGCACACAATAGTAGGTATTCTTTCCGCCATGGCAATCAATGCAGCTTGTTCCCTCATGCATAGCATCTTCTAAAAGCCCCCTTTCCAGCCAAAAGCAGAAACAATGGTCCTCCTCAGTGCACTACATACCACAGAGCCACTCCCAAGGTAACTTTATGGTCTTTGATAGACATAGCCCAATTGTCACTCAGAGCACATCAACACAAGAAGTAATCACCACATAATGTTGATAAAAAAAGCACCACAAAACAAACAGACGGTGTGTCATCAAACATTCCTCGACATTCATCCACATACCTGATTGGTTGATATGACAGCTCCACGGATGTCCCGATAAATGGTAGGCACCACCTGTCCAAGATAAAACAGCCACCCCACATTGATGCAGACGTTGCTGGTCAAAACACACCCCTAGCACGCCCATGCACATGCTAGGAGAGGAGGTGGCGGGATGATGGCAGCGGGGATACTCCACCCAGTAGAGACACATACTTTATGACAGCTTCCTGGAAATGTTGACAGCACATGCTGGATGATGGCACCAGGAATAGTCCACGCAGCAGAGATATGACAGCTTCCTGGAAACATGAATGCACATGGCATGTTGCTGACATGTCATCGTCAAAGAAGGATGACGGCACAACAGCATGCTGGACAAGTAGCAGGGGGGGTTGGGGGGTGGGGGGGTGAGTACAAGACAAAGGATTGCAGTTTTCGTGGCAGAGGCTGGTAGTGACCTTCCCTTCTTAGTGTTCGGAGCAGAGGATATGTCATACACATGCTGAGCAGACTGTACCTGTTCACCGACACAATGACCATGCACAGGGGAAGGAGGTTCAACCAGATTGCTCTAATGAGGCAGTAGTGCTTGCGAGTGCTCATCGACATACTGTTCCTGATGGACAAGCCAAACCGAGTGATATTCTACCACTTGGTGATGATATTTCCCACTGCATGCATCATACCACCATTGTTCCATAGGGTCCATGAGTTATCCCCAAAGGTAAGAGCACTGAAATGACCTGGACAATGTAAGCTGTACGGCCAAATATTGGGATCCATGCCTGGCACGTGATTTTGCAGAGTAGGCTGGAGTTGTAATCGGCTACCCATAAATGCCATCCTCCAGGCAGACAGGACTTCTATGTTCACGCCAGTTGCAGTAGTGCCGTCCTCCAGGCAGACGGCAAGGTGCTCTTCTTCTGTCCAGCGGACAATGTCTGCAAAATCAGAAACAGTATAAGGGTTGCAATTATAGGCAAGGAGACTCGCATTAATGGCATAGTACGCACAGCGCCCTCGCTGCAGCAATATGACATCATCCGCGTGTGTGTGTGCTCATCACTTTAAGCTTTACACGGAGGGTGTGTCTGTACCAGCTTCTTCTATGTACACCCAAAGGAGAATTTGGTGACAAAATGAAATAAAAGCAAAACTAAACTGATCTCTTGCGAGCGCCTGCAAAGCACTGAAGATTTGACGCGTAGTGTTGATAGCTTTGTTATGTTTCCAGAAAAAAGATTCTGCCAAGTGCATGTATTGTCCTGCCTGTCTGTTTTCTCCCCTCTCACACACTCATGTGAGGATTGAGCCCTCGCAAAGGTCCTCCTCGGGCACACAGACGTTCTGGGCTTAGGCCCCCAGCAAGCCTCGTGGCCCCCCTAAGTGAAGGAGGGCCTGCATACCCACGTGAGGCCCCTATTTTCGCCATTTTTTGTATGTGGGCTACTAGACAGTTGCAGCACGCCAGTTGGTTACAGAGCAACGTGAGCCTTCCCTGGCTCGTTCCAGAAGCAGCAGCTGCGTCGTACAGTTGACCCCAGGGCTCATTCAGTTGAGGCCCTGGGCGCACACATCACACGGCCGACAAGTCCTGAAGCGGCCACGGCCCAATGAGAAAGCAGCTCCAGTGTGTCACACATGCCACGAGCCAATGAGATCGCTCCAAACACTTGGACCCTCGTGGGCTACCTGGACGTGATTAACTGCATGGGGCCCAGGCCACACACATGCGACGAGCCAATGAGATCGCTCCAAACACTTGGACTCTCGTGGGCTACCTGAAAAACGTGCCTAACTGCATGGGGCCCAGGCCAGTATCTGAAACTGGGCCTGGACGCAGATACTTCGGGCCAACATGAAGCTACTGGGCCCCTACACGCCAGGCTGAGACCAGCCAGCGGCCGGTCACACTTTGCATAAAGGAAAGTGAGCGCCCAGCGGCACCTGAGTGGGCAATACGGCCACGCTGCTGCATTAGTGCATGAAGCAGCTAGCACTGTGGGCCAGATGCACGCACGGGTGCAGAGGTGAGAGAAGGCCGCTGCTGTGGCAGCAGGCGCACGGCGGCCATAGCCAGGCTGCTGGGCATGGGTGCGGTGATGGCGATGGTGGTCTTCAGGTAGGAGATGCATGCAGTGGGGGAGGCGGTGTGACGAGGGGAGGAGAGAGAAACGTACCTGGTGAATGCTGGCAGTCTGCATTGGTGATGACGTCACGTAGTCTTCAACTTCGATGTGATCCTGTTGCATGACCGTAGATAGGCTAGGTAGGCTGAGTGGCGTAGGCTGGGCGCCTGGGTCCCATTCTGTAGGAGTGGCATTGGATACCATGTTGGTGTGGCCAGAGAGCGTCGGCATTGACATACGAGTTCATTGTATTGCTCTTATTTGGATGGTATCTTGGTGCATTGTGCTCTCTGCTTGCTACATGACTAACTGGACTACCGTGTGATTTTGCGATTTGGATTTCTGTCTATCGCTCTCGCTCGTATTCCTTGCACTCACGCATACGCACCCCTTGACTTGCATGCTGTGATTGAAATGTCTTTCTGTTTCTTCGATTCAAGAACGCTACCCAAACTTTCCTGTTGTTTTCCTTTCTTTCCCACGGGACCTCAGCAAGGAACAAGGACAAAAACTTGTGAGGATTTGCAATGCAACGCGCCATTTTCCCCAAAGTGACAGATGCGCGTAGCCAGAAGCCTTTGCCTCTCCACAGCTTTAGCATGCAACGCACCAACAGGGGTCAAGAAAGTCTCGGACAAGACCAAGTGAGACACATTTTGGCACAAAATTGGCTAATCAGAAAGCAGGTAGATTACCCAACTAACCTTTTTATTGTCCCTTCTTCAAACCCTCTTCCCTTTCATTTCGTCACTTTGACGAGCACAATCCCATAGATATGAGAGCGATACATAATCAAGACAATTCAGACAGTTAAAGTGCAGGCAAAACCTGACGGTGAGGTGCAACAACGATCATCACTTGATTTTTTTCATTGCTCAGATTTTTAGAGGGAGGCAAAGTAACGATTAGGGCAAAGGGGGGATGCGAACACAGCAAAAAGGGAATCAAGGTTGGGGGAGGGGGGAGAACACAGCTTCTGCTCCAAAAGACATTTTTTCATAATTTCGCACACCGTGGAACTTGAATGTGCACCCAACATGTATTCACAACTGTCCACACAAAGCAGAATGTTCCCTCACTGAACGCCATCTCGCTCAGAACTTCCCTCAATTTTGATCCCACGAATACGATTTTTGTTACCTACATTAGCTTCTGCATGCGAACCGACTTACACACCTTAATAAAGTACTGGTACATCCCACTACCTTTCGCTTGAATCTTTACCTCCCTGCAACAAGCTCCAAGAACAGCCCACGAGCCATCCAACACAAGGATACGTCAGGACTCAAAGCAGTATGCTATGCCATGTCGAAAGCATACCTGTGCGCACATCATCATCAAGTCTTTGTGCACAATAAAGAAACAAGCTGTCCGAGCCAGCACACAAATCACAGCGAGCAAGAGGAGACCAAGAGCTAAGCTCGCATCCTCTTGCGACCAATAGCCCAACCTTCAAATACAGAAACGTGTAAGAGCAGTTGCGGACAAATCACACCACTTCTGTCATTCCCAATACAATATATATTTACCTGTACACAAGTTCAATTAATATAAGAAGTCCGCCATCCATAAAACAAAGAATTTCACCTCTGACAATGGAATACAAATGCCTCCCCACCATCTCTATTAATCATTACTCAACAATCCCGAAAACCAATAAAATAGGATCAAAGACCAATGACATAGAATCAGAGTCGTCACACAACTTCAATTAGTCTTCGGTAACTACCATTCATTTCAGTAAACAGTATGCAGACTCGCACATAGGTCTCCTCCAAGCATCATGCAGACGAGTTTTCCTTAAAATAGAAAAGGTATGACGTAGCTGCAAACTTGCTGAGTAGTGGCGAGCGAACGCAGATTAGGCTCTAAAAAGTTAAAAACCATCCAAGCAAATCGGAAAAGATTGGAAAGTCTTCCCAGAGAAGGTGATAGCCCTGTATATTTTGTCCAATGATTTCCATTTCAAGAAGTAAAATGTGCGCCGTGTTTGTAGGTAATTTGGTACAACATGGGAAATTTGGGCCCTAAAGGGTCTTCGTATTTGATGCCTCCCCACCGCCTCCATTAATCATTACTCAACAATGCCAAAGACCAATAAAATAGGATCAAAGACCAATGACATAGGATAAGAGTCCTCACACAACTTCAATTAGTCTTTGGTAACTGCCATTCATTTCAGTTAACAGTATACAAACATCATGCAGACAAGTTTTCCTTACAATAGAAAAGGTATGACGTAGCTGCAAACTGGCTGAAAATGTATTCCCCCCTCCCCGTCACCTCCCGCCCCCCCCCCTTCTTCCTCTGATTATGCAGTCGAGCCTCTTATATAATTGTAGTTCGATTGTACTATGTGCAAGCAGCAAGATGCAAAGATGTGCAGCATGGAGATGGAAGGCACACTGTACAGCTTACCCGTCAAGGGGGTTGACAACACCAGGGAAATGGGCTCCAAAGCTCAGACTGTTGATTGTATGTGAGATCTGATCAGCACAGCAGCATACAGCACAGCCGAAACCCATGAATACGACATGGAGTCAATTGCAATCTGATCAGCACAGCAGCATACAGCACAGCCGAAACCCATGAATATGACACGGAGTCAATTGCACCACTCGGGAGTTTTTGAATAGTGTAATGCTTATCTGCGTGGTCCATTGGGGACATAATTCTTATTGGCATAGGAAGGATATACCCTTTGTAAGTGCGTCTTACAAATCCATTGCGTCGTTCTACAAGCTCCTCCACCGTCTCTTGCACCTTTGGCACATCACAGCGAAGTGGTGCTGGGAAGTGATCCTATCCACCCTATCTGTCACTCACTTTCATAGCCCTGTAATGTCAGATACATGGAGAAGGCAGTCTCCCACTCGAGCACCCAATGTCCACATCATATACCACACAAACTTCACAGAGTAATCACTACGCAATACCCGGAAGAAGAACCTCGTCTCCCACTTCTTTTCTTCACTTTGTGAAGCAGAAAGCACGCAGAGAAGCATCACCATTCAGTAAATACCAGAAGTCCCCTCGTCAAGCAAGGCATTTCAAAGATAACGCAAAGGCAGAAGGAAGGACACACGTGACCAGTGGCCCTTCACAAACAGAACGGCCACTGTCCATATGGTTTTAGACTTACCTTAGCACAGAGAAGCCGATGGGCAACACTACATACTGGGATTTGTCTGTGGGGGTATCACCATTGGATGCATGAAGCGAAATGTCCCGTTGGGGAGCAGCTCCCATCGCCTCACTAAAGGAAGGAAGCCAACGAGTTCAACTTTTGCGGATTGCAAACTTGTAGTGGCGAAAGCTGCAATAAGCCGCTTACATTAAGAACAACTCCATTTGCTGCCTTCGTATACTCCCTACAGGACAGCTTGTTGGCTCATGGCCTGCACTGATATAGCCCAGGACACTCGTGTGTGTTCATGGCGGCACATCCTGCCTGTGCCCAGGACACTCGTGATGCGGCGGTGTTTGCTCCTCGACAATTTTGTGATGGCGCATATCCTTCATGTATACAACCTATTTTTCAGGTCGGATACAGTCATGACGAGGGTGGGGCTTTTGCAAAGTTTCAATGAGCGCGTGCAGTGGCATGCACCCTCATCATGACCGTATCAGTCCTCAAATGTAGCTTGTATTCACCCAAAGACAACGCACCGTCACAGAAGTTCACAATTTCACGAGGGTGTGTTGTCCCGCCGAATGTATGCACACTTTCTTTAACATTCTCTCTCTCTCTCTCTCTCTCTCTCTCTCTCTCTCTCTCTCTCTCTCACACACACACACACACACACACACACACACACACACACACACACACACACACACACACACACAGGAAAAAAAAAAGGACGGTCCTCATGCACCAGGGGCAGTTGCCTAAGCGCAGTGTGTTGCACGTGCACGAGTATTGTGTGCGGTGTGAGCGCATAACACATCCGGCACCGCACAGGTGCACTGCAAGTATGGTGCAAACAAAACACAATATTGCTTTGTAAGCGGACATTCAAGAGGTTAGAGACAAGCATAAACCAACATCACTATGGAGTCAGCCACTATGTAGGTGGGGCAGCAAGTAAGAAGCTCATACTGTTTTCAGCTAACGAAAAAGCGACATTGCAAAAAGGGATCACACAAGGAGTCCGCGATGTCGTAGCAAACAGGCCAACTCGAGGGGCAATAGGTGCAGGAATCTAAGGCAGCATTTAGGCAGGTCGTAGCGTTTTCAGCTACCAAAAACGACGAGAAAATGGAAAAACGGAACGAGAACGAGATAGTAAGAGACACTTTGAATACGTAAGCCCGCATAAGCTAACCCACTCTCCAAGTCAAACCACCAGAGCACACGACGCTGAGCGTCTAGCCAAAGGCGTGGCGAGAAGGCGGGGGGGGGGGGGGGGGGGGGGGGGGGGGGGGGGGGGGGGGAGAGAGAGAGAGAGAGAGAGAGAGAGAGAGAGAGAGAGAGAGAGAGAGAAGGGGAAAATGATTATTTGCAATCCTTACGTTGAACTGCTGGTTTTCAAAAATGACAAGGTCGTGCACATGCATATGTGCCTGCTGAAAGCTCCTTCCTGGTGCAATGTGGAAGTTCCCAGCCACTTTGTTCACCTGCAAGACCGGCGGAAGGAGTGAGAGGTAACATGATGGGCCAAAAATGAAGCTGGTGTCATACCTGTTTTTTCTTTTCCACTTTTCAACTCTTTTTTTCCTGAGAGCATAGTCGCACAAAGAGTCCTGAGCTCGTAATCACACAGAGTTACTGAGTGCCAGGTTCACTGGTGCTATTTTCATGCTTGGCAAGCACAATATCGGTCTACAAAAATAGCCACATGCACGCTTTCTTAAACTGACATAGCAACAGACGTCCATGGCCCAAAGACGAGAGAGCCGATTGAATTTGAACACAGGTTGTCCAGAAACTTGGAAGAAAGACAAAATCGACAGTACCTGACACACAATTGTCAATGCCTGGTCGCCTAGAAGCCCTATATATTAAGAGAGAGGGAAACAAAAGACCTATATATCCTGTAAGAACAGAAACTATATCCACTTCTGCATTCAAGAGGAAGTTTGACTACAGATAATCGATAAACTGTTTATTTTATTCCTTGTGATTATTTTTCCGAGAACAGAAAACCTCCAAGATTTGACCCCTATCCCTTTTGATGATGGGACATCTGTTAAAATTGGAACGGTACATAGAAGATTGGCATGGCCCCTGTGCAAGGATGACACGCATAAATCGAGAAATGGTCCATTTTTTTCTCAACTCTAGTTCGACTCTGTGAAATGACTTGAGAGATGTAGAATCAGTGGGAGCTTTACGGCGACCTTGCCATACTGTTAATAATACTTGATATTCATCGCTTGCATTTCACTGCGGAGTCCACAAAGCTTGGAAGGCACTGAACGTAGCCCGCACCGTGAACAAGGCTGTCTGGAACCATCAGGTCCACTCTCTGACAGAAGTCAGTCCAATCCGATGACAAACACACTGTGCATCAGAAGAGAGATCAATATCCACAGAAATCGACTGCCACTGCAGCTGGCAAGTATCGAACTGTTGTACAGAGATCCTTCCGGAACTATAAACATGAGAACAAAACGCCCTCCCAAGATCGAAGATCCAGAACTCGACAGGGAGCCACCTCACCAGAGAACCACTCAAACTTGAAAATATCACTTGCTTCATTGGAAGTCGGAACAACGTTCCAACAACTGGAATCGCCCTTAAGAGCATACTCACATCCCTGCAATTCCATCATTTTTGACTGAATCTGGCCGGAATTAAAGCTAGATAAGCACCAATATATCCACGTGTGAGTGAACACCAACTTACAGCCAATCACATTCACCATAAAACACACTATGGTTCAATGGATCTGGCAAGGACCTGGCTGAAATCAGCTTCTGGCAGCTCATTTGGCCCGCAAAACAAAATCCTTCACGACCCGACAAGGATATATGAGGTTACACAGGAAATTATGGCGACAAACATTCCAGAATTGACACACCCAGACTTAGTAAAACAAAAAGAATGGCAATCTCACCTCCAGGAAGCCATAAACATTGCAGCCCTCTCCAGCTTGGGTCTTCACCCTTGTGAGAAACCCCTCTCGATTGCACTGAAAATCCCTTCCACACAGTGAAACACTGATCAGGATCAGGCTTACCCATCAACGCAGACCAGCATTCAACCACAAGCACTCTGCACAGACTCCCACCCCTGATGATGCATCATGTTCCACAACCCACTAATCCCATATCTTCTGTTGCACTGGCTACTCTCCATTGCCTACTGGAATAACAGAGCGAATTTGGCAAAAACAGGCATGCAAAGCTCGACAGGCGGGGCAGCGTGAGGCAGTTTACCACGCAACCCAACTCAAGATTCAGCACCGATGTCCTTCGGGACATCCGTTAAAATTGGAACGATACAGAGAAGATTAGCATGAAAAAAAAAAAAAAAAGATTCAGCACAGATTTCAGAGCCAGTTCAACGCTTGAAAGACTATATATCCCACTCCTCTTTAAAAGGATCGTAAACTCGACAGCAAAGAAATTTGAGATCTGTCCGCCATTGACACAGTTGTAGGAGGATGCAATGTAACATTTTACTGCGCATTTGAAGGAGCTGTCGCATGCAAATTCATATACCATTTTCCTCGCTCGTTTCTGACACCAGCACAGAAAAGCTTATTGCCCCCAGCAGCTAGCAGATATGGGCACTCATATTTTGAACGGCGAGCTCAACACTTCTCCACATCTAAACAGTTCCAAACAGCTCACCTCAAAGGGTCACCAACCAACACCCACATGCAAAGAAAAAAGGGAAAACTAGTGCAAACATCAACACTTTGGCTGCCAAAAAAGAAAATATGTCAGCAAATTATAGCTCAAGCGTTTGCATGCCTGAGCTGCACCAGACACGTGTTAGGTAGACCTGTTTCAAACCCCCACACAGTCAGTGATGGTGCCATGCCCAGGGCGAATGCTAGTCCCATGGATACAAAAACAACTGTGGAAATACCTGCGGGCGACTGGGAGAATCTGCCGATAATAATTGTGAACTAGATGACCTGTTGCGGCTTCACTCAGAAAAACAAATATGACAGGTGATTCATTCATGGTGGAGGCAACCGGTCAATGCAAACTCTCTCTCTCTCTCTCTCTCTCTCTCTCTCTCTCTCTCTCTCTCTCTCTCTCTCTCTCTCTCTC